AACCATACAACGAACCCTCTAATTCTACTCCATTTCTACCCCATTCACGTCGAGCACTTTCACTCCCATTACGAGAGACCTTCTTCGTCCTGCGAGCGTTCTCCAGTTCTTTCTCTCTCGAGAGTCGATCGTCGAGCAAAATCAACGATGACGCAGTTCAACGAGGGAGAGACTTACGAGTCCTTTTGTCCCCCGGTGATCGAGCGTCGCCTCTCCGTTGTGACGCCGTTCGATCTTGGATCGAGCAGCAGGCATATGGATCTCGCGGCTATGGACGATGCACGATGAGACGCGACGACGATTGTTGACGAGCGGCCGTTTTCGTTCTGGCGTCGCTAAAAGCCTCGTGGCCGATGCCAAGTGTATATTTATCCCTGCGAAGCAGTTCGAACGCAACCACAGGGAGGTCATCCGTAGCGAGAGGTGGGGATCCGCGTGCACACCTCGGTGTCGTCGTCGCGTCGGCGACGTCTCGAGTCGTGGACAAGCGTGGGATTCAATGTTAGGAAGATGGAAGAAAGAGAGGGTTAACCTCTGCGATGTTGGTTAAGATTGTAAATTGAATGGTTGATGACGTATGATCCTGTTCTTGGTGGGTCGCGAGAGGGTGAATCAACCCCTTGGCTTGTAACGTTGAATCACATTGAAAGGTTATAATTAAGTTATTCTGCAAAATCTCATCCCGAAAAGTTGCATTGGACGTTAAATAAAAAACGTTCAATTTCAGATGGGGAAAAATATACAATCTAAAACTACGAAAACTTTCAATCTGAGAGATTATACCTATACTTTTTACCCAGCAAACTTTTTTCTAAGCTGAAACTCAATTTCAATTTGTTTGTTGAAATTGAAATTATAGTGTTTTTAGTAGTGAGATTTTATGGTAATGAACTGCGTATAAAAAAAAAATAAGGCAAACAATTCGAAAAAGTTGGAATATAGCACACGCCGATACGTGATATGAAAAATCATTGATCTGTGTGATCTGTGGATCAAATAATCCAGAGTTTTTACCGCGCTTTTTTTTGCTCTACATGACGTGGTGTCTTCTCTGAATGCATAATAATAACGCATTTCTTGTTTCATCTATATTACTGTTATTTTTCAGCTCGTATCAACCTTCATTGATGATCTCATGTTTTTCAAGTAACCGCGATAATTTGTTATTGCTTCCATCGAAATAGGTAACAGTCACGTAAAATGAGATGAAATCCGAAGGAAATGGAGGAATGTTAACCTGGAAGAAAACAGGTCAAAGAGAAGGTTATGGAATCGAGGGCCAACCTGCTGGTGGATTGCGAAAGCTCTCACGTTGACAACCGTTGTACACGTCGTCGACCCCTCTCAATGAGTCTCATTGTTTTCGAGTACGCGCCTGTTTTGCATCTCACAACTGTTTTCCATTTATTTTCTTTTTTTTTTTTTTCTTTTAATTCTATTCAAACCAATAGTTCAATTACACAGTTTCAAAGGACGACCTTGAAGTCGAGTAACTTCACTAATCGATCGCCAGTCATTTTAATGATGTCTCTGGGGACTGAAGTCTCTTAGAGTTTCTGGAAATTTTCACGGAAGATTCATTTGTGATGAAAGGGTGGCTCAATTTGATTTTGATTGATTGATCAAAATTGAGATGGATGAAAGATAGACTTCATAGATGATGGATAGCTACAGAATAATAGATGTTATCTTCGATAAGAATTATGATGCGTTTGAAGCACAGTGAGAAGAATTGTTATATAGCTCTGTTAAGAATAATTGAGTACTCTTAAAAAATTTTAGATTTGAAGCAAGCTTTTTATACAAATATATTCTTTAACTTAACCTTTTTTTTTTTATCTAATGCTCATTGTAATTTTACTATTTTCATATTTAAATCATGAAGCTTCACTAAGTAGACTGCAGATATTATTATAAACACAATTAAATAAATGAAACCTAAGTACAGATGCAGTGATAGATGAAAGAAAATTTGAGGGATAAATAGTAAAAATATATGCCATATTTCTCGAAAATTATATTTAACAAGGGCACTTAAAAATAAACGAAGAATGGATATAACATCTAATAGATTATTCAATTTGATATTGATTTTATTATAGTCTTTTCTTTTTCGTCATTGCATGTTTCGCCTAAATAACTACTTTACTTTGGATATCCCAATGCATAAATGTATTTATTATGTTACTGAATGAATCTAACTCTTCCTTTCAACTTTCATCCCGTACCCTGTTTTAGAAAATACAATAATGGCACCATCTATCATCCTCAAAGCAAAGAATATTCAGAATTAAATATCGACTTTAGAATTTAGCGACTTGAAAAGGAATAATATAATTTGCATATGAAACATCGTCGAATTCCCCGAAGACGCAAAAAAAAAAAAAAAAAA